TTGGGAAAGTGTGAAGGCAAGAGGAGAACGGGATGACCAAGGACGAGATGGATGGACAGGGTCATCGAAGTGACCAGCATGAATTTGACCCAACTCTGGGAGGCAACAAAAGGCAGGAGGGCCTGGCATGCTCTGGTCCATGGGGTCACGTAGAGACTTAATGACTAAACAACAACCCCCTGCAATCGTAAGGATTAAGTCCCAGCCCTGCGAAACAAAGTGGCACAAAATTGAAACCATGAGCAAAAGGGTAACATTTTTTGGGTGGTGCGGGTGGAGAGTAGGCATTTTGCTGTGACTTGGACGGCTTTCTATAAAAGGACGCCTCTTGAAGAACAGGAAGAGACCGGATTTAAATTCGGAGCACAGGCGTGCGTAAAACAGATTCGCTGTGAGCAGGATTCGAACCTACGCAGGGAGCCCCCATTGGATTTCAAGTCCAACGCCTTAACCACTCGGCCATCACAGCTGCACGTCGGTGCTTTTTTTGAAAATCTCTAAACGTTTGCAAAAACGAGCTCCGACGAACAGAACGAGGAAACCGTGGCTTTACCCCCCTCCCTCCCGCAGCTTTCCAACCTTACAAATAGAGAAAATAATAATATTTGCAAAACTCTTTATTTATTTATTTGTTCGATTTATATCCCGCCCATCTGGTATGTTCTACCACTCTTGGGCCGATTAAAGAAGAAATTCTGCAAATAAAAAGGGTGGCGAACACGTTCACTTTCTTGCCGCCCTGTTTTCTCCACGACCTTGAAGGGCGAGACGCATCCAGACCAAAGAGAGTTAATTAAAGAATTAACTGGGGAACAAGAGAATGCACCAGCGTCTTCCACTGGATTTCCTTTTTTGTCCCAGATGCGACTCTCTCTGTGGCTTTTCATGTCTTGAAGGGACTCTTTCTGGCTTATAAGCGTGATAGTGGACGGGTTGAGGGGGGGGAAATCACCTTGTTCTGGTGGAAGAAGTGGTCAGAACAGCGTCCTGGCAACTAAGAGGTTAAGCCGAGGGGCGCTTGCCCGAAGCCAAAATGGCCGACGAAGGCCTTCCGTACGGAAATCTCGCGAGGTCTCGCGGGGCGCGTCTCAGGGAAGAGGTGGTTGCCAGGGGCAACGACGAGGCCTGCGGCCTTGAGTGTGAAAGGCGCCAAATGTTTGGGCGAGGAAGGAGGGCGGCGGCGGGTTAGCCGCGAGTCTCGTTCTCAGGTAAATTGGCGGGGACCCACGGAAACAAGTGGGCCGGTGGCGCCGGGGGGCCTGTGGGGCGTGAGGGGCCCCTGCGGACCGAAGCGGCGGCTCCGGATTTGAACGCCGTCGCGGCCTCGACGGAGAACTTCTTTCTCCAGCGCCGGAACCAGGATGTTTTTCAGGCAGAAACCCAAAAACTCTGTGTGTACACACGCACACACCATGACACACGTGCGTGTGTATATGTATGTGCATACACACACAATAACTATGTGTACACACACACACACACACGTGTCTATGTATGAATACACACGGGTGTGTGGGTGTGTATATGTATACACAGACGCATAAATCATGTACACACACACACACATGTATACACACGTGGGTGTACATATGTGTGTGGAAATATATACACACAGAAAAACACACATAAACCATACACACATACACGTGCTCTGGTCCATGAGGTCACGAAGAGTCTGACACGACTTAACGAGTACGACACGACTTAACGAGTAAAACAATAACATATATATATTTCACTTGATGTGTCAGAAGAAGTGGAACTGTGTATGAAAGCTCACGTTAAAATATAACCGTTAGTCTTTACGGTGTTTCTCTGAGCGAAACACAGTTTTAAAAATAGAGAGGACTATAGCTCCCATGTGGCTTGGCTTGCAGGGGGAGTTGTAGTTAAAAACTGTTCCCCTGCTAAAACAGACTACAGTAAAAAAAAGCTTTTCTAACCCAGCTTCAGTAGGATTTATTTCCAGACAAATGTGTATAACATTGCAGTTTTAATAAGTGTTCCGATTTGGGCTTTACACAGCAACTGTTATTTACCTAGATCTTACAAGAGGAAAATTAGTGTGGAAAAAGTCTTACTTCTTCTCTACTATGGATGAAGAAATATTTTTATACTCTGGCACAACACACCCATCTTTTTATTGTTGATAGCAACAAGCTACTTCGCCATGAGCTATATTTTTGAATTTTACTTTGCGCCATTGTCTAGAATTGCATGTTGTCATCTATAGTTCTGGTAAAATGTTAACTTTTGCAGATCAAGTGTTTCAGAATGTGCTCCTTGAGCATGCTCTGATTTTTATTTGTGTTGGCGTTTGAAATTATTAAAGGGGGGGGGGAATCAAGAGATAAGCTATCTTGGTGGTTTGTAAACATGGCCCCCCAAATGTTCTTGGACTACAATTCCCAGAAGCCCTGGACGTCTGGGAGCTATAATACCAGGGGCCCCAAGCTTGCAAACACCCGGCTGGGTCTTTTGCCATCGTTTCCCCTTGTAAAACTCTTTTTGTCTGTTTTTTTCCATGCAGCTAGAAATTTGTCACCTTTTTAGGGACAAAAGAAAATGCCTTTAGTCAACGGACTGGTTCCCGCACGGTTCCTGACTCTCACGGCCCATCTGGTCATCGTCATCACCATCTTCTGGTCCAGGGTGAGAAAACTTTCCTGCCCTAGTGTGCCTCCAAATTGTCCTGACTTCTGAAAGAGGTCTTCATCTTTCATGGTGAAAAAGGATGTCTGTTCCTCCCGCTCCCCTGCGGCCACCTTGGGTCCTTTTAAGGAGAAAGTTGGGATAGAAATATTTTAAATAAATAAATAAGAGATTTCTGCCTTCCACAACAATGAGTGTTTACTTACCACCATTGAACGATGCCTTCTGTCTGGGACCAAGGTGAGGAACAGTTGGGGGTAGGTGGAATATCAATGACTTGGAAGACGGTGAAGGATTGCGCTATTGGTTCTTGGCCTGGCAGTTTGTGGGACCTGGTACCTGTGCGCTGGTACTTGTGTAGAGTCACACGCGGTGGAGGAAGTAAAGAGACAAGCTTCCCCCTCCTCCCCCCATACTTTGGAAGGCAGTGCCGGAAACCTGGCTATCTTCATTAATGTCCAGCTGGTGGTGGGGAAGATGTTCTCCAGTACAAAGAACCTGGAAATGTTACTTTTGGGAGCAATATCTCCCAGAACCCCTTCATTTTGTTTGTTTGTTTGTTTGTTCCACTTCTATACCACCTATCTGGCTACAAGACCATGCTGGGCAGTTTGCAGCACAATAAAGCAATGACACTTTAAAAATATATAAAACATAGTGGGGATACAGAAATCAAAATCTAAAAATCAAAATTGCAACATACAGTCACAAATAGCCCAAACAATGTCAACGTCAACATAAATCACACTCGTTTAAAAGGCAGAAATCAGTGTTGAAACTGATGTAATCTCCAGAAAAGCCATGTCTTCAGGGATGGTTTGAAGATTCCTTCTGGCAGCATGGCCACCGGTTGTAGTCCAAAAAAGGAACTTTTCTAGGCTCTGGATATAGCATGACCATTATTTGATGCTGTGTATGGAATCGCCTAGCAGTGGCCAAGTGAAAGGTAGATCAGGGACTGGGGGTTCAGCCTACAAGATGGGGTTCACGTTCCCTCTGAAGACACAGGTGTGCAGCTTGGGGCTGTTCTTGGGTTCATCCTTGAGCCTAGATGCCCAGGTCTTGGTTATGGCCAGGCGTGACTTTTGTGTGTGTGTGTGTGTGTGTGTTTTTTCGAAAGTTCAGCGGGTCCAAAATGCCACTACCACCTTGCTAACTAGAGCTGGTTATAGGGACCACGTGATTCCCTTGTTCCAGCAGCTCCATGGGCTGCCGGTCTGTTTCCGGGCGTAATTCAGACTGCTGGTTTTAACCTATAAAGCCCTAAATGGCCTGGGTCCAATTGACCTCAAAGACTGTTGTGTCTCCCACTATGAGCTGGCCTTGCTCTCGGTCCGCCACCCTCACATTTTCTTCATTTGAATATTGTAAAGTCACCTTGGGTCCTTTTGAGGAGACAGCGGGGGGTGGGTGGGTGGGATACAATTATGTTTTTAAAATGATAAATTTTGTTATGCTCTTGCATACTTGTACCTCTTCAGATTTCATTTAATTCCTCTTAAGGGGATTTTGCAATGGAGGAAGAGAGTGTTGGGAAAGGGGAAAGGGGGGCTGCCGTGACCGCCTCGCCCCTTGTAGTGGATGGTTGCACTGCTAGCTGCTGGATCTCTCTGTTCCAGGACAGCAACGTCCGGGCTTCCCTGCCTCTCCAATGCACTCAGGAGGAGTATGAAAACCGGGACACAGAGTAAGTCTACTCTGATGGGGGTCTAACTCTGCTTCTGTTCTCTCGGCAGTGTCTTTAACACCAGGGATCTGTGTAGGGCATTTAGCCTGCAGGATGTGACCTCTAAGAATGTATGAATTTCCCTGCCAGATCAGGCCAAAGGCTTGCCTAGTTGAGCAAGCGTCAGACATGAGCGGACCGTCCCGTCGTCCCAGGGGAACATCCACACGAGGGACAGGAACGAAGCAGACGTTTCTCTTGCCGTGGTTTCCCAGCCATTGATTTTCACTCTCACGTGGCCCTTCTTTTGTCTTGAACTTCCCATAGTTCCTCTTTATCGGAGTAACCCAGGCCCTGGCATGACATGAGAGGGAGAAAACCTTCACTTACCTGCACACACCCTTTCTTTACAGCTTCCATCATTTGGTAACTCTCTAAGACATCTTCTCCTTCCTGTGCTTCTTCTGGGTGGGACATTGGTCCTGTTCCCTTTTCTACGCTTCCCTTTTCCACATTTTTGAGAGGGTTTTTTTTTTTTGAAGGGAGGGGGTCAAAGTTAATGAAAGGTGTGAGAAGCTCAAAGGGTCCTTTCAAAGAGGAAGGCGGGGGTGAAAATATTTAAAATAAATAAAGCACTCATCTTTTCCTTGGACCTATTCCTTCCTGTGGCTTTCTCTCTCTCTCCAGGTTGGTGGTGGCCCTGTCGGTAACCCTTGGACTCTTTGCGGTGGAGTTGGCCGGCTTCCTTTCTGGAGTGTCCATGTTCAACAACGCACAAAGCCTTCTCTGTATCCTTTGTGGCCAGACGAGGGCTTAGCAAAGGCTAAATATAGGTTAGGAGGTACGTGGGAAGAGAGACCTCATGTAGACGTAGGTACACTTGTCACACTGGTTGCAGGTTAGGAGAGCAGAACCCTAAGGACAGAGAACCAGCTTAAAACATGTGTTGGATGTACATGGGCCCATGTTTGGGAACTGGCTGTAGAGGGCCACTTGGCTTCCCACCAATGCAGCTGGGACACGATGAGGAAGTGAGGTGCCATGGGCCTTTGTTGCGGCAAGGATCTTTATTTTTCCATCCCTGTGGCTGCTCCAGGACCTGGCAGGCAGGCAGATATGGGGCAAGACAGACATCGGCCATTGTTGCTCCCTGACTGAGCCTCCTCCTCCTCCTCCTCTCCGTCCCAGCCACTGGGGCTCATGCCTCGGCTGCCATCACCTTGCTCTTCTTCCTCTTCGAACAGTGGGATGGCAGCCTGTACTGGTGGATCTTGGCTTTTTGCAGGTCAGTGGTGATGGCTGGAGGCAGGGCGCCTGCCCGCGAGCGACCTCGTCCTCTGTTTTCACAGCCCATCAATGGGCGCACAAGGGGGACTGGTCCAAGGCAGCCTCTGGCTACTCCTCCCTGTCTCTTTCCCTGTAGGCCATGTTCATGTTCCCCTTCTGGGCGCTTGTTTGCTGAGGGTGTGTGTGTGTGTGTGAGAGAGAGAGAGAGAGAATATCCACTTTTGCTTTTGCTCCTGCCTGTCACCTGGGTTCTTACCTTGGCTGTTATGCCTCCCACCTCCCCAGCGAGAATGGGTGGCCTCCACCTCTGTGCCTGTGCTGTCAGAGGGCTCCAGCAGGGGAAAACAGGACACTGAAGTGGTGGTGTCTGTGCACCAAGCCACCTTTTAAAGTCATAACTGCAAATAAAGTAGCTGAGGAAGATGACCTTATTCTGTCTTTTGGGGTCAGGAATGAGGTCTCCTCCATGCACTTTTCTTTAGGTTTGCTTATTTGTTCAGTCAACGTCTCTCCTCCTGCTCTTCTCCCCAAACAAGGGGGCCTCTCCCTCCGTCGCGGTTAAGGGTTTGAATCGCATCTTTTCATTCACCCCAAAGGATCGCCAGGGAAACAAACAAACAAAAACAAAGCAGAGGTCACTGTTTTGCCTGTAAAATGGCCCAACCCAGGCTGGGAAAACACCTTCACTCAGCTAACAACAGCAACAACAAAAAAGACACAAAAAGGCTTGCAAACTTTCAGTTTTACAGGGGAGGCTTGTCTGCCTCC